GAGAGAGAGAGGATCAGAGCCGTTTCTTTGATTCTCACCTTCTAAATGGCTCAATTTGCCCAGTATAATCTGTCTTAATGTAATTGCATTTGATAGCTCATAACCCTGGCTCTGGCAAAGACACGGCTTTCAGCCTCATAAAGTGTTTTCCCCTCGGATTTAATCTGAATCTCAATCTAAAATTATATTCAAAGAGATGGGGGAATCTCGGCGGCCGTCTCCCGCTGCCTTTCTTCCTCAATGTATGAGGTTTGTACTCCTGCTACTGAATAAATGCACACATTTCCCGAGGTCCCCCTCCCCGCCGGGTTAATGGGGAGTGGAGACGCACGGCTGCCCGGCTCTGCAGCGCCACCTGGAGGCCACTCCGCTCCACCTCGGCCAGTGGCTCTGCTCAGGTCCCAGGATCCTTCCTGGTCTCCCCTGTCAGTCTGGTGGACGACCCTAGTTTGTCACCCCCAACCCCTCCGCACTGATTTTCTGCTTCTTGACCCGAGGGATATTTCGCTGATCATGAGTCTGCTCACCAGCTCTGCTTGGGGTTTCTGGCTAATTCGCGGGTGGTTTGGCAAAGTTAACCCTCTACACGCATAAAACCCCTTACTGTGAGTCCTGCAGCCACTGTCTGAACCCAGCAGCGCTTCCCACCTCTAGCCAGGGTCCTGATTCCATGCAGAGGGGCAGAGGGGAGTCCATTTCAGCTTCTTTCTGAGCAAGCTAGCTACCTGAAGGCTTTTCTCCCTCTGCAAATATTTATTGAGCACGTATTATGTGCCAAGCACTATTCTAAGGCACTGGTGATGTGGCTGAGAGGAAAATGAAGATTCTGTTATGAAGCTGGCAATTCTCCTGTCCTCTATGATCCCGCTTCCCTGCAAAATCCTCAGGCTGGTACCCAACTGCCTACTCCAGGAATACTCCATGATACTTTCCCCCAATTACAGACTCCAAAATGGAGAGGAAATAATGGTTTTTCTCCTGCTCAAGGAAGGCTCTAGACAGATATGTTGGACACTAGGACCTGACAGTCGCATCTGAGTTCCGGGGTGGGGGGGCATCATATTGGGAGTCTATTCCTTTGCTGCCCATTAACAAATAACAGATTTGGCAAGAGACTTCTCTCTCTGCCTCGGTTTCCCTGTTTATGAACTAGGCGACCCTTGTTCTGTCTCTGTTTGCTGAGGAAATCAGATGAGAAAAACATGTGAAAGGTGCTCGGCAAGCTCCGGTGTTCTGGACAATGAGGGGTGTGGAACTAGCTCATACAAAGAAGACCTGGAGGCTAGGTCTTGCCCCTTCCATCCTGGGAGGCCTCGATACTTGACAAGGAATGGAGAAGGAGGGGGCTGTAGCCCATCTTCCTCTCTCCTAGGCAGAGAAGTCAGGCTTTGAGGAAACCGAAGTGCAGCTGTTTCTAATGAGATGCCTCATCCACAGCTCAGAGGGTTTCGCTTTCCCCTTCATCTTGAATACTTAATCCTAATAGTCCTTGAGTATATTTGATGTTAAATATATCATTTTGCTCAGACTCGCTGTCCCTCAGGACTGCACACTTGATCTCTCCCTTGCCACTGCAGCCAGAGCCATGCCCTCAAGGTCTGAGAGAAGCTTTAGTGCAGCTGCCCTTGGCACTTCTGGTGCCAGCCCCCACCCTACCCCCGGCCCCGCGCTCTGCACTGGGGGCCAGTTGGTATAGCAAGTGCAAAGCCTGGCAAGGGCAGCTTCTTGCAGCAGAAACCTCTGGGCTACCTGGAGGCATTCACTCTCTGGAGCCTACAGCCTTGCTCCTGATCTCCAGGGGCCCACTCCTTACTTTGGGGGCCTATCCCTGACCCATGAATCAGGACTCACTAGCTGGGACTACATTCAGCTGGGACCACAACATGTGAGTTGTATACATGTTGTGTCTGAGCCTCTCTGTCCCAACTCCAGTTCAGTCTAGCCTCCAAGGTACCCAATTGGCTGTCACATGGCTAATTGATATGTGACACTGGGGAGTCTCAACCCTATACCCCAAGCCTGAGGCACACTGAATAATGAACTACAGAAGCAGGTAGGGCATGTCAGCAGGGCTTGGTGTGAGGGCTGCTTGTCCCCACAAGTGGCTTCCTCTCTGCACCCTAGCAAGAGTGGTACTTGCAAGCCCCTCTTGAGGGAGGACTCCAGAGCTAAAATGACAGAGCTGCTCAGCTAGTCCAGGGGGTTTAGAGTGGCTTGAGGCTCCCAGCTAGGAAGGAGCCAGATGTGAGCTCACTCATGGGGTGTCCTCCTCCTCCTCAGCATGTGGGTGAGTCCTACCCCTCTGCTGTCCCCCTCCCAGACAGGCTCCTAGGAAGTTTTGGGTTCCCTGGGGCTAGAAGAGGTAGCTTTCACTTGATATGTTCCACAGGTGATGAGCAAGCACTCCTACTTCAACACATCAAGAGTGCTCCCAAAACGCCTTTGAAATGCCTCTGGGGACAGCAGGGAGGACGCCAGGTGATCTGTCCCCAAGGTTACTCAGAAAAGAATGGGGGGAGGGGGGGAGGAGTCTACTAGCTGCCTTACATATTTCTGAGCAGGTCCCAGCAGTTCATCCTTGTGCAGAAACATACTGAGAAAAAGAGTTCCTGAGATGGGGGTGGGGGACAGCCTGACTTGGTGCCTGAGGGCCCAGGCAGACTAGATATTCCAGAACTCTTCAACAGAGGCTGGCCAACATGCCTCAGCCTGAGGGTCCTGCTCCTCAGCACAGAGAAGCTATCTACCAGATGGGGTTACAGGCTGGCCTTATAGGTGAAGCTTGGAGAAGTATTCGTGGTGACAAGGGCCTCTTCCCTGTGCCCATGAGTTTACAGGACAGAGTGAACCTACAGACCTTGCAGTGCTATCAGAATGCCTGCTGGCCAAGTTCAGATGCTCTACCCTGCCCCTACATACATATCAGTAGCCAGTGGCTAGGAATTTGCAACCAGCTCACAGTGAAGTGCACAGGTGGCAAACTCCCTTTTTGGGACTCTAGGGAGACCAGACAGGTCTCAGAAACTACAGTTACAAACTGCTAGGCCTTGGAGAGGCCTAAGCCGTATCTGCACAAATCTACCCTGCCCCTCAGTGAACATCAACCCACCCCTGCACAGGAACCGTGAGACTCATGGGAATGTAGGTAGGCCTACTGCCCAGGTTTGCCCTAGGACTGAGGGGTTCCCTTTCTATGCTAAAACCAGATGGTCCTGGAAAAGTCAGGGTAGTTGATCACCATAAGGAAGGTGGCAGGGTGGACAAGGGACTGATGGGGCCAGAGAGGAGACCAGCCAACCAGACCCTTTCCCTGCTGATGAGCAACTGCCTCCCAACCCCAAATTTCTGAGCCTTCTGTCCCAATGCTTCATACTCAGGCACTAATGTAGGATGTACCAGCCCCTGGCCCCCAGGCCAGCCAGAGATAACTTCTAAGATATCACAGTGGAGGGGGTGTTAGTGGGTTCTGATTTTGTGAGGCCCAAAGCTTTGCAGTTTAGGGGTGGAGGCTCTTTTGGAAAAGGAATCTGAACCAGACCAGCCTGGGCTACATTGTTAGTTCTGGGCTAGACTGGGCTGCAGAACAAGTCTCTGCAAGGCCCTTCTTACACACACACACACACACACACACACACACACACACACACCACACACCACACACACACACACACTTGCACACATGAGTATAAAAAAATAAATAAAAATGATAAAAGAAGCATATTCTTATGCTCACACACACACACACACACACAGGAAAAGAAATAAGAGGAATGTCCTAATGCAAATTTATCACCCAGGATCTGGCAACAGAAAGAGACCCTGAGGATCCCAAACTTCTCTGGCTGAGCCTGGTGTTTTTGAACTACACAGTCCATCTGCCTATCCTAGCCAGCAGGACATGTCCTAAAGCAGTCTGGATGAACTTAAGGCATGCACCCCAGACCTGCAGGGGTGCAGGCAACACCACTGCCTGATAGGCCATGAAGCCCTTAACTGGGGGGGCGGGGGGGGGGCGGCAGGGACCATGTTGGTTAGAGACACCTTCATTCCTAAGTTCTCAGAGCATCCCACTAGGGAATCCTTTCCACAGGGAGGTGCAGGAGAATAAGAAAAAGGAGGCCAGAGACTGGCTGGAGGTGGTTCTACTGGGAAACCCACATTGCACTGGCTCAGCAGTGCTCAAGATGCCTGCACGGGGGCAAGAGCCAGTGAGAAAGTTGCCGGCCCGCGCTTGCGGGGCGCTCTAGGTGGCGAGGAAGACTTCTTCATCCCGGTGAGGCTGAGGACCGCGGGGTGCTGAGCTGGCCTCTTGGAAAGACGGACGGACACACACACAGACACACACACACAGGCACGTACGCACGCACCAGGACACACATCCAGCCGCCAAGCTCACCGACCCCACAGGATGGAGGTGGCCTCGGCTCTCCGGCGCCACGTCCCCGCCTTACGCCCTGCATCCTGGGGACACCACCGCCGCACGCCCGGCACCTACCGTCCTCCTGGTCCAACACCATGGTCCCCTGACGGCTCTAGCCGGGCGTGGGCCGCGAACGCACAAGGACCCGGAGCTCGGACCGTCGCCGCCTGCTCCCCTGCGCTGCTCTCCGCGGCCGCGCGTGGGCCCCGAGCCCCGCGGCCGCCGACTGGGCCGGACGGTCCGGCGCCC